GTGAAAATTTCATGTCATTAGCACCTCTAGTAATATATTTACTGAGAAAAATGGTGACGTGTTCAATACTTATTTTACCCGCTGTATATTATATAATCCTGCCTAACTGCTGAGTTCACATTACCTTGACACATTCTGTTCTGTATCTCTCTGATAACTGCCACATTTGTATAATCTGTTCTCATGATTCTTAAAGATGCCATTTGTGTTTCTGCCTTAGTGGATATTTCTACGACAGATAATAAAGCTGATTCTGATTCTGATACGTTGCTGTTATTGGACCATTTAAATGGAAAGATGTTATGCTGTATTTGAAGGTAAAGTCATTCAAAAGGTASCATTCACTTTTACTAAAGTTATGCTTGTACCCAGAGAAAGTACCAAAACTCTTTAGAGCATGGATAATGTGGGGCACATTTGAGATAGGGTCAGAAAGGTATAAGAATAAATCATCTGTGTATAAAAAGATTCTGTGTTCCTCACCCTCTCTATAAATTCCTCTTACTGATGTTTATGGTTTATGAGTAATAGATAAGGCCTCTATAGACGAGGTGAAAAGCAGTAGGCTGATATGGCATTCCTGTCGGGTTTCCCTTGATAATTGGAAATACTATAATTGCTTATCATTTGTAATTATGGAGGCTCTGATCCGTGAGATGAAATTTAGGCTGTACCCAAATTTCTTCAAGCAGGCAAATACCGGTAAATATCTCCACGGTACCCTATCAAAGGTTTTCTCTGCATACAGAACAATAGCCACTTCAGAGACCACCACGGATGCAGGGGAATGAATAACATTCAKAAGTGAAAAATAAAAACAATTCAAGATAAAACTAGTTTGGTCTACAGAAATCCACTCATGGTGGTTTCTAACTGCGAGGCAAGAACTTGGGCTAATATTTTTGCATCATTGTTCAGAAGGAAAATATGTCAGTAACAGCTGCATTCTGTGTTCTTTGCCTGATTTTAAAAGGAGAATGTTTAATGCTTCAGTCAATGTCCATGGAAGTGACCCACATACTAGAGAATCATTGAACCTATCGAGTAGAATGTTAGATCTACACATGTTTTAAAGAACTCTACTGGATACCCATCAGTGTTTATCCATTTTGCATTTCCTTTATTGCTTTGGTGATTTTAATCTGTTTTAATAGTTCAGTTATTGCCCCATGCTTTTTGTTTATTACCAGGGTCTTCAAATTGTTAAAAGTGTTCTATGCCGATGTGTTGTTTCTGATTTATAGAAATTTGAGTAGAACGAGGTAAACACTTCATTAATTTCTTGTGGGACAATGGTTCATTCACCACTACTGTTTTTTATTTGTGGGATTTGTTGGCTGTCAGAGCAGCCCTTGAGCTGCTGTGCTAAGAAACAACCTGCCTTATCACCATGTGTGATTTTAACAGTAGATGTTCCACCTTCTCTACCACTTTTATGGATTTTAGWAGCTCCTCTTCTTTAGTTTTATTGATCTTTTTCATTCTAGCATACCCTTGATCACTACCTTTAGTGTTTCCCAGAAGAGAAGGGGAAATACCATCTTTTTTTGTTGAGTCTTAGAAAGTCATCAGTTTTTTTGGATATCAACTCACAAAATGTTTTGTCAGATAATAAGTTTCGATCGGCGTGTTCGGGGTGTTCTGTTTTATAAAGAGGAAATGTGATATCTGGTAGAATGGGCATGGTCTGACTCAGCTTTAGTAGAGAACTCAGCCTTCTTAACAAATGGAAAAAGAGATCTTTCAATTAAGAAGTAAGCTAATCTACAGTATATACTGTATGAATGGTGAAATGGGAGAAAAGAAGACGACCCTGCTCTGAGGGAATAAATAATGCCAGGGGTCAACACCTCCTGTACAGCCCATTAAATCTGACAGCAATCTAGCCATTTTTGAAATATGTGTGGACTTGAAACAATCCATTATAGGGTTAATTACACAATTTAGATCTCAGACGAAAATTAATTATTGTGAGTTCAAGGGTGGGATTGATGAAATAATTATTTCAATGAGTTTTTCATCCTCCCAGATAGGGACATAAATATTAATCTAGATGATAGGCCTGTAACTTAGAAAACCAGAAACCATTAAAAATTCAACCAAATTGGTCAAAGGTTATTATTGTTTTTAATCTTTTTTAATCACTTCAGTAGAAAAAAGAACTTAATATTAGTTTCTTAATTTCTTCATCATCAG